CAAGTGTCAGTAATGGTCTGTTGATTTCACAGGCACATATAACTGATCACCAGCCAAACTGCATGTTACAATTGCTGGGGGGGGGGGCAGGAAATGCAATTTTTAACCTAATTCTAGAAAATACAAGAGACTCCCTGTAACAAATGCTATTTTGGTATAACAATTGGGACAGACCAAACAAACAAGCGCTCAACATAGACCAAGTTATTCTCACGGTCTTTAAGGCTCTTGTGTCTCAACAGAGGCTGGTGTTGCTCACCTTGACTATTCTCAACCAGGGTGCTGTAGCATCCTGGGGTGCCCAGAGATTCTTTTAAGGGTGATGCAGGGTGATGACCACTATTGGGTATACAAATACCTATACAATTTTCAAGATAAACCCAGGTTTCAAATAGGTCTCCAAAATGTCAAAAACATTCCAACCTATTGTGATCTTTCTGAGTTCTTTGCAACAGAAGAATTGTTATATGTTACTACAGTCAACCAAGAAGGAAAAAGCTAAGAACTGGTATTTTCAGAGGGGTGCCTTGAGTCTAACAAAGTTGAGAATGACTGGCATACCTGTTGAGTACTGCTTCTTTGTCTGCCAAACGACTTTTAATTTTACTAGTGAGATAGTCCAAGAACAGTGTCCAGATATCTAGGCAAGAAAAGTAGCCTTCGTGGGTAGGCTGAAATACACAAAATTCAACATTAAATATGACAAAATGCAGCATGACTTAGGTCATGTGTAACCACAGTCTGAGTTACCATGCACAGAACTATTCAGTGGTGCAGGTTTGCTTCAGTGATGAACTTCCCCTGCCAATGGAGAAACTACTTGCTCAACTATCAAAAAAGGAGCCAGGTCTGTACCCAGAACCGGGATCCAAAAAATTCCCAAGTCTAGTCCCAGCAGTGACCGACTCCCTTTGCGGCAGTGAACTGTGGCCTTCCAGTCTCAGCTTTCCTAACCTAACATAATACTTGAATATTCACATTCACACGAATAACCGGTTTATAACTCTCCTAAATGGTGTTGCAGCAGTGAATCTCACTGCAGAGGCAGGGTAACCACTTCCCCCCGAACTGTGGCTGAACTTAAAAGGAGAAAAAACAAACAAACCAAGAACATGGTATATACAAGGGAACGATTTGCCCATGAAGCCTCAGAGCAAGAGCTCTGAAGTGAGTAAAGAGAGTCCTAAAGCTCAAAAAAAAAGCTATGCAGTGTCAGCACACACATTAATTTGATAAAGACTGAAGTGTTTTACCATGCTACCCTTTGAGTTATTAGCCCTACTGGGGAAATAAGTCACTCTTACGATGTCCTCGCATCATACATGGGTAGGGTATTAAAGGCTAAAATAAGAAAAGCAGCATTTAACGCCATACCTGATGAAAAGTATATTTGAATAATAGAGCCAAAAATTCAACCACAGGGAACTGAGAGTAGGATTCTATCCTCCGTAGATGAACACTCACAAAGAGACGCAGAAAGTCTGTAAACTTCTCAATGTAGCTATAGAAGAAAGAGAGAGAACAATTGAGCAAAACACAAACAATGACACAAGGGAAACGGTTTCATTGAAACACGGATAAATTCATCTCAAAACCCTTTCATTAAAAGAAAACTACATTTAATGGCCAGTAGTACAATTAAAATATAAAGCCCTGCAAAAATTACCTACAGGATGGGCAACCCTTCATTCCATTAACACCTGAAACATAGCAGAAAAGACAATCTAGTCAAAAGCAACTTTAAAGTTCAGATAAAACAATATGAATTCAATAAGGCCCTCAGATATGCAACCCCACACCCTTAGAGAAATAGGTACTTGGCAACAAGGCTCAGTAAAGGGTACTAAAGGGTGCAATCATCCAGTAATACCTATATTCAAAGACCAATGGTTTAGAACAGACTTAGATCAGAAGTGAACAGAATCATAACACCATTTTAATATCAAAAGTCCTACTGATTTATTTATGCAACTGCTTGTGAAAAAATACATCTCACCCCACACAATGCTTTAGGGTTCTTAGAACAGCAGGGTAATTTTTTTAAAGAGAGACATGATGCAGCTGAAGATGCAGCAAGGTAATTTTGGAGGCAAACTTTTAAGACTCAGCAGGGACTGTGACCAAACCTAATTTTGGCAGTGCCAAGGTAGTGCTCACCTTCCTTTGAGAAAAAACTGTTCCTGCCAAGGACTATCCAAGTTGAAAGAGTTGCTATGTGGCGGCAGAAACAAGGTGCATATTTCTTAGATTGGCTACTACGTACTTGTTACTAGGGCTGTGTGAGGCTTCTAACAGCTTCGGATCTGGAGAAGCTTCGGACGCTTCAGGGTCCAAAGCAGTATGTCGGGGTCGAAGCGCTGGCCTCATTCGGCTTCCCAAAGCTGTTCGGAGCTTCTGAAGAACTTGGGAACCGCCTCGGAGATCCAGCCATAGGGTATAACGGGGAAACAAAATATCTATAACTTTGTTGTTTGTTGTCTGATTTGGATGAAATTTTCAGGGGTGGTAGACTCTATGGAGAGGATGAAGCCTGCCAAGTTTCAAAAAGATTGGTGCAGGGGTTTTGGGGAAACTGTATCCCAAATTCTTGAAAGCAAAACTCCTGTCACATCTATGCGTTACAACACAAGGGGGGGGTCAAAACTGCAGGGGTGGTAGCTCTTGCTGAGGCCACAAAGCCTGCTAAGTTTCAAGAAGATCGGTGCAGGGGTTTGGGGGGAAGTGCAGACAAGCAAAACTGGTGCCATGGGTGCTTGTGTGACTGACTGTCCATCTTGGGGCAGGGAGAGGAGACACTGCTGGAGGCCTGGCTGCTAAGCTGCTGTGTTCCCAGTTACCAATCAATCAGTCACGATTCACTCAGGGACCAGGGACTCGGGGACCAGCTCAATACACAGGACCT